GAGCGGAAAATTCTACGTACAGATATGTCCTTGACCATTTTCAGAATTTGACCTCTGATGGTCATTAAAGGTCAAATCAAGGTCACGCATGGTTTGGCGCGCTGTCTTGAAAACAACGGGTTGCAAAAAAATGACCATAACTAACGTTGTAGGATTTTTCTCTGGCTATCTGACGGTGACCCTTGATTTGACCGTGACCTTCACCTTCAAAATCCACACTATATCAATTTTGGCAAAAATCGGTTGATTTTTGAAATCGGATCCGTCATCTTGGACTAAAATTCCTCAAAAACAGATTTCAGATTCGTAGTCAGCGACCCCAAAAACCTCCCTATACCAAATTTGGATCCGCCATTTTGGAAAATGGTCAAGGACATATCTGAACATAAAATTTTCCGCACTTTTCATTTCCGGAGTCAAAAGTAGGGCATCCCATTTGAAAAAATTTACTTGACCTTGAAATAACCTTGAAGGTCAAGGTCAAATCTAGGGTCACCATTGAATAGCCAGGGAAAAATCCTAAATCTTTTGTCTGAATCATTTTTCCTCAAAATGCATTTTTCGAAAGTTATTGTGCCGTTTCGATACTTTTGGGACACGTTGTACAATAAGGCCAGTAAATAAAAAAGTACGGAGGTTGGTCTTAAGCGAATAATTACAAAGAGTACGAAATGCCTGGTTTATGGGCGTAAACTTTCAGGCTTAATTCTCACTGACGGATTTTCTAGAGTAATTCTAATGAATATCCCGGCATTAGCGCAGTTTCCTAAGACAAGCATTTTAACGGACAAAACAGTAATAAGGGAGGACGCCCAATATGTCTCGTAAATGGTACAAGCAGTTTATCTGAACGAGCGGCAAATTCTCGCGGTTAAGCGACGTCGCACGGCACCAGTAAATTTTAGACGTCTAATTTCATTTCGCCTCATTCTGATATAGTGGTGTATGAACGTCGGTTGGTACAGCTGGGGCTCCTTCGTGAAATTTCAGTGAATATTATCAACCACGGAATCGAACGAGGACTCGCTTTGGAGTTTTAAGATACAAAGGTTTTTGTTGGATTTGTTTATATTACAGTAAATTATAATAGAATGAGACAACAACTACAAGACATAAAGACGTAACTTTTTTAATTTATGTCCAATTTAATTTAACTTAAAGGATGCAGCTTAAGATACATTTGTGTTGGTCCGCACAGGATGTAACAACGACGGACTCATCTATGAAAAATTTAACGAAAATGTGGGGGAAGTAAGTGATAAAAAACAATGAAATGTGGGTCGGAAGGAGAAAAGCTGAAAAAGTACTTAATAAAGATGAATAAATGAGAAGTTTAGATAGAAGGCACAAAAACAATGAAGAAATAGCATAGCACCTGACCAAGTGAGTTTTTCCCAGTAAAAAAAAACGTCTAATACATTTTTGTGACATTTATCTTCTTGGGTGGATTATCGCGAACCCTAATTCAAAAAATATTCAAGCTGAAAAGGTTAAACCAGATTTATTATAAAGGTGTCCCTAAAAAAGGTCGGAAAATCGCGTTTTTTTCTTTTTCGCCTTAACGTACTGGCACAACCGGTTTAAAAACACTGATCCCCAGCGGTTAAAAAAAAATGTAAGCGCGGCCAGTAATGGAAGGACGGTCCTTTCGAACAAAAAAGCTTTTTGTCGAAATATCACACCGACGGCAACGACCTGGAGGGTCCCTATTAAAATAAGGGAATTGCAAATGCGGCAGTTTGCGGGTTACAGCCCTCATACGTGGTAAAAAGCCATGTAAAGCTTTTACGTCCCGCGATAATTACCATAATAGAAATGCGGGATCCGTTCGGGGCGAGAGGGGGGGCAGGCTAAGGGGTGGATTAATACGCTGCGACCCCGTCAGAGATAAGTATAACCTTTGGGGGAGGGAGCCTGCATCAGTCAGTCGAATGAGATGTTGAAATAGGGATAATGGGGTAGTTCCGAATTTTTTAAAAATTTATAGTCATGTAATTTTAACCAAACTACACTGTTCAAATAGTAGTGTATTTGAAAAATGTTTCGATTTGACGTCGAACCTGGTGCAGTGATTGTGGTTAACGACATGTTAAAAATAGAATTATTAGCAATTGTACAAAAAGGAAGAAAAGTCAAATATACAAAATATGTAGTGGTTGAAATGGTTAGTTCGTTGTGTTACACTTTTTTTATTGCCACCACCATTTTGAACTCAATCCCATTAGACCAAGCAAATTCAATTTTTACTCGAAAAGAGTCCTATCCGCGAGATTATTGTAAAATGTAAATAAAGGAACATAATACAAGACATCTCTCTTCTCGTGAGTTAAAAACTTTAGTTAGCTAACTTTTCTATTTAAACAAATAAGTAAGGAAAACAGTTTTTTCACTTTGCAGGGAAAACCATCAATTTTAGCGAAAAGTGACTCTCAGACAGCTTGTAGGGAGTAAAATTATCTACAAAATGAGACTTGTTAAATTAAAATCGGTTAATAAACAAAAAAGTTATTACATAAAAAAACAAGAAAAGTGCTCATTTCTAATTTGTTTATAACTATCGCATTTATTGTTAAAATTTTATAAAACCTATGACAAG